TACGTGAGGTACCATACGTGGTACCCTTTGTTGTTCCCCCAGAACGGAGATTACTGTGATAGCAGCTATTTTCCTATCTTCCAAAGGTTGGTGGAATGTGCAAAGGAGCAAAGCCAAGCGTCTTCAGTGCTTGGATGCTAGACAGCTGAGGGGGCTCTAGGAATGGAATCTTGTGGAGGTGGGTGGGCTGCAAAGACCAATGCTGAACAAGTACCACCTACTGTAGGTAGATGTAGGTATAGTCATGACTGAGCGCCATATTCACAATGGCTCCTCCAATGGAGTGAGTTTTAGAGGTTTTCGTTGGTGTTAGTATAGTTGCACTCGTTCTTGCAGAACATACCAATCACTGCTAAAACACCACGTACAGTTGTTATTCCAAATCCTAAAATACGTATTTGAATGTCTCTCATCACTGAGTCGGATCAAAATACCAGTCCAAGTAGTCCGTTTCTTCCAAAACAAATCCCTAGGCAGAACAAGAGGTGTGCGGCTTGTGGGTGGGGGCGCTCAGTCCTTTCGAACGGCAAGACTTGATTGGCCGAAGCAGAAGCAGAGGAGCCAGACTGCAAGTCTGTCTGCCTATCCCTCTGGTAAACTGCGGATCGGATGGATTTGTTAATAATTTCCCGGGTTGCTGGGGCTGAGGGCTTCACTTCTTTAGGATTTGTTTGGGTATGACCTGGCGTTGCTGGGTAAATCCCCTGGTATAGGGAAGATGTTATATTTTTTCCCGGTTCCTTGAGCAAATCCAAGAACCTGCATGATCAACTTAAACCGTTTGAACCAAGCACATCAGTTCCGCCAAGCAATGGCTGGCAGCTTTGTTAATGGAATATGGAACTAGGCATCATGTCAGTTGTTCTTGTTCTGCCTTTGTTCCTGGTGGCGTATACCAAACCCTCCCCGCAAAAGTGAGTCATGCCAGTATATCAAAAAAAGATACCAAGCTGCGACAGGCTGGTTGCTGCGACAGTTGCTGCTTCTATAGAACAACAAGCTGCGACAGAAACAAAACACATCGCCCAATTGAGGGATCCACCTGCTTTGTCAGAAGGTATGTATACGGGCTCTCCTAGACCGCCTATGACAACTAGTCAAACTAGTCTCCAATGACTGTACCTCAGGTGCCAGTGGATTCATATAGGGATCAACCGTGATCCTTGTTCATCACTTGTTCTTCATGGCTTCGCTCGGAGCGGTTCCGCTTGATGGTCCGGCCTGGCACCGCGGAGCCGCGGTTCCGCGAGGTACCCCGCAGCGAAGGTCCGATCGTATGAGTGGTCCAAGAAGGTGCGATCGCGCACGGCGGACAGTTTCTTTCTTCAACTTGATGGCTTTTGATGGCTCTGCAGTGGTGGGTGGGCTTTGGAGCTTTGAGAAGTTTGAGAACTGAAGGTGATTCAGAGGCGTATACCAGACTTCTGGAAGAAAGGTCCCAAATCCATGGGCCCCCAAATGCCTTGCCATGCCGAAAAACCCAAAACCCACCCTCCCAATCTCCGCTTGACGACCCGCCCGGCCGGCTCTCTGCCCGGGGTGGCGTCCGCCAGGCGAAGCGCAGACGCGCTCCGGGCACGGGCCGCATGTCCTACGCCCGGGCGGCCGAGTGGGGCGGCTGACGTGGGTGAGGGCGCGGAGCCGGCGGTTTGGACGGAAGGGACGGAAGGGTCAGGGCGTTCGGTCCTTTTTGGTGGATCACATGGCCATGCCTCTTCGCTGGGAACCTTGAGTCCTGACCTGTGGATGGATCGGAATCAACGGGTGCCAGAACCCCCGGAGCCCCGGAGACGTCAAATCATTCTGGAGAGTGAGGTTATCGGTCTGTTCAAATGTGTGGCCTTGCTGTACAAGTGAGGTCGGGAAGCTGCGCAGCAGAAGTTCTCCAAGCTGGGGGGCGTCTCCTATCCAGTTCTGACTTGCAAAAAAAAACGTCTAAAGAGGGTGATGGGTGATGCATTTCTCCTTGGAACCCAGAGCCAAGCCAACCATATTACGCATATTATCCGACCATCAAACACTGTGACAAGCATAGTTCCTATGAGCCTACCTTGTGAATCAAGGTCTATCTCGTCCTAGGTCCTCTAATTGATGCTTTGCAGCCACATCCAAGTCACTTCCAGCTGCATCAGTGCTCAGAAGAATTCAGAAGAACGGTTGGTTCCGCATGTTTGAGGGTTTTCTATCTACAGAGACATGGCCGGATGGCCCTCTCAGAGTTTGAAGGAGGGCACCTCTCAGACGGATGGCCCTTTGCACAGAACCTGGCGGATCACTGCGGATCGGGGGATTTTGATGGATTTTGCCAGTTGCTGGGAGAGTCCCCTGGCATTGGGGACAATTGTGTGAATCTTGTCATGTTTTGTCCTGGTTCCTTAAGCAAATCCAAGTCACTGTTTCATCTCCTTAGGGGTTTCTCCACTTTTTTTCTGCCTCAACTCCTCCTACCACCGTGCCAGAAGCCCCAGGTGAAGCACATCGTGCGACGCCTGAAGAACGGGTGCCACCGTTCGCCGTTCGCTTTGCGGTGTTCGCCGTTTTCACCGGTCGCGGTTCGGGGTGTTTTGGAGTCGAAAAGGCGGAGGTTTTGAGGCACCAGACCAAAACATGTCAGAACCATGCAGAACATGCTGCAGTTGCTGGAGGCATGAAAGATGCTCAAGGATGCAGACCAACACAGGTGTCCAATCGGAACCAGAGCTGCATGACTCCCTAGAGCATCTAGAGCAAAGAAGAATCAGTCTTCAAACCGATTCAAAACAATACCAAACCAATATACCATGCGTTGCATCATATTGCATTGTCTGAAAACGCCAAAAGTGGTTCAGTTGCTCCAAAGGAGTAAGGCGTCTATAGGGTTCAGGGGGTTCGTTGCGCCGCTGAGCACGTCGAGAACTCATGACATAGAATGAGTTCGTTTGGAGGCCGGGCTACGCTTCCAAGAAGCAACCAAGCAGGACCAAGCATCCTCAGGAAGCTTGTTTGGTCCTTCAGTCCTTCGCACGACACTTGTCTTGTGCATCCTTATTGGCATGCCTGGCGTAGGTGGGTGAGTGAGTTCACTCACCGCCTTTCGATCGAAGGGTTGGATGGTAGGACGGTAGGACCTTTGTGGTATCATGCCTAGCTTCATTGAAGCTACTCTTCCCTGATTGATCCTGCTTCCCCTGTCCCCCAAGAGAGATTAAGTGACCTTTGTTTGCCCCGACCGCGTAACGCTATAGGGTATGTGAGTGCCACGTTCTACATCTCAGCGGTGCCCAACCTCTTCGCAGGTTCCGTGAGGGAGGCACCCCACCGGCACGGAAGAAGGTGAGCCAGAAGTCCTGAAGAGGCCCGTTGCAGAACTTCTGGCCGTGGGTATTTGAGGTCATTTAGTTTTAACATGAGAAGCTCATTGGTCCATTGGAGGTTGGGTTTGCAGCTGGAGAACATATTTGAGCTGCCTTAGAATGGTGACGCTCCCACTTCGCTGGGGGTACGACAAGAGATGAACAAGGAATGCAAGGGAGCCTCCCATTCATGTCAAGACCGAAATCCAACAACCTTCCAATTGTTTGAAGGGCTTGGATTAAATCCTTAAAGTCGGTAATTTTCGTAAGTATAGCTGGGCCCAAGCTGGCTTCCCAAAGAGTTGGCTAATGATTGAAGCTAATGTTTGTGATTTTATGTCCAAGAGCTTCTCAACACTGAGTGCCCAATGATATCCAGGATAGAGCTGAAAGTCCAGAAACACATCATTTCCCCTTTAAATAACCCCAGGCCCACTGGGTTAATTTTCACACTCATTGGTGAGACAAGGAATGATGGGTGTGGCTAAACCGCATTAAGCTCAAAACCATTTAAACCGCAAACAGTTCAATGGCTGGCACTCTGAATGGGGCGCCACATGGTTCTGGTCGCCCTACGCTGGCAGGTCAGTGATGAGCCCCCGCAGATGTCTCGACGTGTCCGAGGAAAAAGCACGATGGACCTGGCCTCGTTGGACTCCCTTTTTTTGGCCTCGTTGCGAAGAACATGCGATCTCAGGAGAGGACATTCTAATGCATCAGTTTTGCCATGTTTGAGAGCTCTTGTCCTACAAACCAAGGCCTCTTTTGGGGGTTGTTGAGCTGATATTGTTGGTATTCTTGTGTAAGTTTTAGGAGGTGCATCTCACAACTTTGCTTCTTTATCAAGGCATCAAACTGGAAGGAATGTCCGTTTTCTTTCAACCATAGTTCAGGATCATTTCAAGCAGTGGAGCGGATCATGCCAACACTCGAAGCGCCGCATCCTTGCTTTGCTCAAGGCCACGCTGGTGTTTTGCACGTGTGCAGAGAGGGCAAAACCATGGATAGCAATGGAAAGTCATCATGGCTCATCAGTTGGTACATGGTCATCATTCGATTCACCATGCCACAAGTAAGTATCCATGTAAATCATCAACATTTTTGATGTCCAGATGTTGGATGGTTAGACCCATAGTGAAGGTTTCTGCAAGAACCTCAGCTCCTTGACACACTTCATCGCCAGCAGCGGTCAAGTTGGACTTTGAAGGTGCCGCCGTGCCTCCGCGTGAGTCCCAAGAAATGGAAGGGGGGCCAAAAAGCACCCCCGAGCGGGAGTTTCATGGTAGTTGTGTGGGTAATTGTACGTGTCTTTCTTGGCTTTGATAGTTGTTTCTCCCCTCCGACGAGGGTTTACACCATCCTTTTGAGATCCAAAACAAAAGGCACAATCATTTAGGTCACGGTGACGGTGGGCGACCCCGAACACCCAGGACTCCCTGAAAGAATCATAGTTATGGCGCATGTTCCGAGGACCAAACATTCACTTTGATTCTTTACAGGGAGTTTAGCCATTTAGAAGTGGAGTCTTCCTTCGCGCCGCTGATTGCTTCCCTTGAGACAAACGCATATATCCATCGGCTCAGAGGTGTTTTGGGTCACAAAGTTTGACCCAACCTGTGGTATAAAAACACCCAACGTCTCTTCTTCTCGACTCCGAAAACAAATCGGATGACTTCCATGCGAACACCCATCCGCTTCCTCTCGGGGGAGATCGTGGATGAGTTGGAAGCCGATGACTTCGATGCGATTGTCCAGGCGGAGAAGCCTGTGACCTGGAGAGTACCTGATTTTGCTTTGGAAAGACCAATCGGAAAGCCAATTCCCCCATGAAAAGAAACAGCTGAGAGGTGACCTGTGGTTATCGTCCAAAAAACGTATGGAAGTGGTATGTCAACATGCCCACCTGAAAAGCAACAAAAACCATTCTGTTTCGAGAGGACAGTAGTCTTCCATGGGTCACCACGGAAACCCGCTTCGATTGGGGAGCGGCGGGTGGGCCTTCCCACGATCCGGTCCTAGTAGTAGGTATGTCTAAGTACGGTCCCTAAGAAGTGAAGCAGCATCCAATCAAATAAGTACCAGGCCCCCCCGGATATGGACATCCCTTAACCTCTAAGGAGCTATAATTGGACACCCCGACATCTCCTCCTTTTCTCTGCATCCTTGGCAAACAGGTTTGCTTTGTTTTATTGAGGCATTTTTGAGCAGGAGAACCCCCCAAGGGGCAGACCAGTCCGTTGTCGGCATCAAAACCATCGATGGCTTAGTAAGAGCGAGACCAAAAGGAAGTCGTTTCGTCCCCTTTCGAAGTCGTCGCGTCGTTTCGGCGGACTCTTTTCTGAAGATGTGGAGGGCGGAAAAGCCTCGAACTCATCGAAGTGGAGGGCACCTGGGACCGGTCTGAACGGAGCATTTTCCAATGTACCGACCTCCATGCTGCTGTCATGGAGTCGATTTTGTGTGGATATCCGGAGAGTCCTTCAGATTTCTTTGTTTTCGTGGCTCAACGGAAGGTGGCACTAGTTTGGTTGTAGTGCACCGAGGTCGATGCTGCAAGATGTGTGTGTGTGTGCTTTTCTAGGTTAGTAGCTGGAAAAGCTTATGCTAGTTTGCCCAGTGATTCCATTGATGAAACGATTTGATAATTTGCTAAGTTACAATCACACCGTATGTGATCACGTATGTGTGTTTTCCCTGCGGATACTGACTGGGTTAGAGATTTGTTTGCAGTTGTTTTGCTTGTTTTTTGTTTTGCCAGCACACTCCAAAGGTGATGGCACTGAAAAGGCACTTGGCAGCTTTGACTGGGATTCCCAGGTTTCGACAACAGCTTTTGCAGGATCGCATCCACTTGTTGGATGACGCTTCCTTGACATCAGACTTAGAATTGCAGCTGGTGATTCTGGACTTTCAACCGATTGATCTTATGAGCATCCTGGATTTCATATTGGCATGCTGTAAGGGCGACGCGGTCCAAGTGGAAGAATTTCTTCAGAAACCAATCGATCCAAATTCGCGAGATCCCCACAAAGAGGTAGCAGCTCCACTCTGGGCGGCAGCAGATAGTGGCAGCTTGGAGGTGGTGCGACTGCTACTGGAGGCTCGAGCTGACATGGAGTCTACAGTACAAGAAGGCTCAACAGCTTTGCAAGCAGCCAGTGGGAAAGAGCACTTGGAGGTAGTACGAGAATTGCTGCAGGCAGGAGCCAATAAGAATGCTGCGGCACTCAATGGTTTCACGGCTTTAAAGCTGGCCAGTAGCAAGGGGTATGTGGAGGTGGTGCAAGAGTTGCTAAAGGCAGGAGCTGAGACGGAGAGTCTGGGTCGAAATGACAAAACTGCTTTACATTTGGCCAGTCTGAAGGGGCACTTGGAAGTGGTGCAAGAACTGCTGGCGTCCAGAGCTGACACAAATGCTACAGCAGGTAACTCAACCGCTTTGCACCTAGCTTGTGGCAATGGGCATTTGGGAGTGGTGCAGGAGTTGTTGAAGGCAAGAGCTGACCAGGACGCCGTCGTGCAAGATGGTAAAAGGCCTTTGCACTTTGCGTGCATCAAGGGGTACCCAGATTTGGTACGCGAACTCTTGGTCGCTGGAGCTGATAAGAATCCTGCTGCACGCGATGGTCACACACCTTTGCACGGGGCAACCGCCTTTTCGCACTTGGAAGTGGTGCGAGAATTGCTGATGGCAGGAGCAGATGAGAATGCTGCCAAAGGAGATGGTTGCACAGCATTGCATTTAGCAGCTCAGGGCGGTGATATCAAGATGACCAGATTGCTACTTGAGTTCCTGGGGTTTGGGCTTGTGTGTTTCTATGTCCTTTTTTTTTTGTTGCTTTGTGTCAATCCTCAAGCAAACTCAGCCAAAAAGCAGCGCTTGTTTTTCCCCTCCTGAGTCCCTCATGTGTTTTTCTTCTCCCCAACTCCCAGGTTTGGAATTCATACGGAGTCGCAGAGACACGATGGTGCCACGGCTTTGTACTTGGCCTCCCAGGCAGGGCATGTGGAAGTCGTGCGGCTCCTGGAGGCTTCGAAAACTCCACAAAGCGGTGGCGCGAAGTGAAGAAAAGGGAGGGCCGCCACTGCTGGCGGAATGCTGCGACAACACCCATCGGTGAAGAGGGATATGGATTGACAGGGAGTGGGTAGCCATAGGCAACTGTTCCTATATATTGTAGCAGGATGTAGCAGGTGATTTAGAGGGAACCTCAAACTCTTGCTACCAGGCTACCAGGGCGAATTTGTAGATGGCCTCCCTCCTAGCGGATTTGATCGGAAATTGATCCGGTCAAGTTGGGATTCAGTCCTCGCTCCATGTTTCAGAGGTCGTTGTTTTGGGCTGCGCGCAGTCAAACGGAGGAGGTTTCCGTCGGTACACCATGTCCGGCTGATATCGCCAAGAAAGTCACAGGGCTGCAAGGTGCCGCGAGGGCCACAGATAGATAGATCATGATACCCAAACACTCTATGGGACTGCCATATATGCCCATACATTGGGGTGGTTTTGGGGGTTAATGTAGGAGTGTTTGGGATAGATCATGTGTGCTTCTCAAGATCACCTCACCGATAGACCTTCAACCATCGCGGAATGTGGCACCAGACCTCCCAAGATGCCCGAAGAGCTTCTGCTTCTGCCCTCGCACGTGCGCGCAGGGGCGCTATCGGCTGCCGAAGTCCAGAGGCCTTCGGGAGCGGTGTTGGGGAGCGGCTGGACTCGCAGGAATCGTGGCGGTCGCAAAGCTCGAGTCGAAGATTATCGAAGCTCTTGGAACATGAAGATTCGTGAAGATTGAGATCGTCCCTGGTCCCTTCAAGTCCGGAAGAATTTTTCTTCGCAACTGACTGTTCGAGTTTGGAAACTTTTGGGCCCGCAAATGGTCCAACGGCTTTTGGAAGGAAACAGTCCAACAACCGCCCCGGGCAGGCCTGTGAAGATTTGATGTGTCCTTTGCAAGTGAACCCTATAGCAACGCTTACTGAGTGCTACTGTAGTGGTACTGTAGTGGCCTGTGTTGAACACCAGGACAATGTAGTTCCATTACTTTTGCCTGCCAGGCTGATGTGAGTCATACTGAGGACAGTTAAGGGACATGCACCCTGGCCGCTTGGTTTTCAACGCCCCCCAGATCCATCCAAAATCGTCGCGTACAGCTCAGCTCAAGGAGCTGCGCCAAAGCTGCACAGTACTGAGCAGCGCAGAGCAGAAGCTCCTGGGGTTGTAGATGTTTCAGGATGCAACATAAGGCAACTGCACCTTAAAGCCTTAACCAGTCCGAGGTGAATTGCTCAAAGCATCTCAAAGCAGAAACTCAGCATTTTCTTTGCACTTCACAGAGTTCGATCCATTCTGGGGTTTTTTTCTTGTGTGGAATAGACAACACAATACACTATCCACCACGATCTGATCCAATGTGTCATGTACCCATTCTTGCCAACAAAAAGTTCATCAACTAGTTCCAAGTCAGCCATGCCCTGGTTCGCTGGCCAGAAGCCCACTGACGCCCCGGACCCAGCGCCGCCCACCGGACCAAGCGCTGGAACGGCCGCGAGCAGCCCACGAACGGCCGCGAGCAGCGAGTGGCACCGAACTCTAACGGTGAACTTTCAGGTCGCAGAGGAAAGGCGCTTGAAAAGACAACGCCAACTGCAAGACTGTGGAAGCACTTTGGAAATGGTTCCTGGAGCGATGTTACTGTGGGGGGCTGGTTTTGTTTGATGTTGGGAAGCATCTGAAAGAAATCGAAGAAAACACCTAATATTATGGATTTGATCTGTGTTCCTTGCTGTTTGTGACCTCTTCCAAAGTCATGGCACACGATGCGTGACCTGCAAGGAATATGTCATTCACAGATTGTTGCCCATTTGGCATCATGCCAACTCTGGATTGATCTGTGTCAGAGGTCAAGGTTGAGCTAGCCCATCAGTGAAATTCTGTGAAATTCGGCATGTATGAGTGAGGAAACAATCAATCCCACATTGAATTCAGGCTGGAGGCAGCATGCTTTAATGAAGTCCCCAGCCTTGAATTGGCATGAATTGGCTTGTTGTTGGTACAGTTACTTGGAACTCACCCAACCAATCTGATTCCTGCCAGCCGTCACCATTCCACCACCTTGGAGTGTGCATGTCTAAGTTCATCCAACATACAGCTGGATGATGCTGGACATGTCTGGGGGGAGGTCTGAAACTCAGGTCGGTGTGGACAAAAGCTGGCTTGAACGTGAGCCCCATGCTTTGGAGTTGCAACCCGAGACGTTTGCCGCGAGGGAGCCTGAGATTTTGGAGCAGCAGCTGGAGCAAAGTTTGAAGCTGTTGGAAAAGTTTATTGAGACCAAGCAGTCCAGAGATGCTTCCGCGGAGTTTGAGTGGTATGAAACCCTCAACCAGATGAACAGCATCATCGATCGCACACAGCGACCCAGTCTGGATGCTGCCTCCCTGGCACTGGCCAAACTGCCAGGAGCCAAGCTGGCGGGTGCGAGTGGCTTGACAGCTCAAGATGGTGAACTTGAATCATCAACTCAGAGTTGAGACTAGTTTTATAAGACTAAGAGACCAACCAGTTCACCTATACCCAACTCAGAGATCAACTATGTGTCTTAGTCAACTAGTTTTATAAGACTAAGAGACCCTATACCCACCGAGTGTGGATCGCCTGCACGACCTCGGTTTTTCCCTCTCTCCACTCGACAAGAACAGGTGGACGGCTTGGTGTCTTCCGAACCAAAACGAAACGGCGAGGTCAGACGGTCAGAGGCTCCAACGACCGAATCTACTCCGCCCTGTCCGTTCCGCGGGTTCCGCGGGTTTTGCTCCAAGACCTGAGAAAAGGAGCGGCCCTCTGGGTCGCCGGCCGCTCTCTGGGCATGGGGGGCATGCATTGGGGGGCAAGGGCCAGAGGGGGTGTTGATGGCATATTGGGTAAACCGGTAAACCAAAGCTTCAATGTGTGTGTGTTGTTTTTTGTTTCCGTGTGTTTTGGTCCATAGGAACCTGATGAACTCCAAGGCCAAAAAGTAGCAAGGTTCCCCAAATTCAAGGTGTAATGTTTCAGACTTGGCAAAGGTGTCCATTTGATCCAGTCTGTTCCCAACGGAGCTTTAAACAATCTTAGAAAGTTTGATGTTGTCTTTAATTTATCTTTCCCGGTCCTTGGCGAGCCACAAATCAAGGGTTAACCTTCAATGGTTTTGAACCCTCCAACCCTTCTCATTCAAATATATTTGATCTATATTTTAACTAACGTGGTTCAACACCTCATCACCTCATCACCTCTCAGGTCTCGTGGGTGCCGATCTCTCCGGCGCCGACCTCGCCGGCGCCGACCTCCGCTGCGCCGACCTCCGGGGCGCCCGGCTGGGCCTGGCGACCCTGGCGGGCGCCGACCTGCGAGGCGCGGCGCTGGGCCCGGGCCAGGGCCGCGAGGCCGCCGACCTGCGGGGCGCCAACCTGTCGGAGGTGCAACTCACTGCGGCGTGTGGGTTGGAAGCGATCTTTGATGGAGTGTTGGTGGAGGACTTGGGGGGTTGGGTTAATTTTTGGCATTTTGGGGCAGAACAATGATTTGTCCTAATTATATCTTCAAGTGCTTTGCGACTTATGAAGCTTGAGAGCTTGCGGTTCTCCTGTGTACATATTCCCTTTGAGCTTGAGCCGCTTGAGGATGCACTTCTCTATGGCGCATACTTGGCCAAGGCTTCCTTCAAAGGCGCACGTATGGACTGTTGCAACTTGGAGAAGGTGAACTTTGTTGAAGCTCGCTTTATGCACTCCGTCCTGACGCAGAGCAGGTGCAATGGCGCCACCTTCCTCGGAGCAGACTTGAGTCATGCTCGTATGGATGGTTTGTTCTTTGCAGGTGGTGAGCTGGAGGAATCTCTCTGGGAGCCATCAGGCCCACCAAGTGTAGGAGCTTTGTTTGTTGAAGAAGAAGCTTATTTGGCAGCTCCCGTGCTGTGCAGAAGTAAACCTCAGGGAGGAGTTCTTCGACAACTGGTGATGCTATTCTTCGAGGATGAAGGCGAAGAGGAGGAGGAGGACGACGAGGAAGAAGAGGAGGAGGAGGAGGGGGAAGAGGAAAAGGAGAGTCCCCCAAGCAGAGAAAACAGCGAAGATCCTGAAGTGGAGGACCATGGCTCCAGCGTGCCCTTGTTGTGCGCCGCATCAGACGTGGTGATCGAAGATATTGCGGTGGTGGCAGCGGACCAAGTTGAAGCGAAGGCAACTAAGAAGCTCCAAGCAGCAGTTAGCAAGGCCGAAGCGCAGATCTCCAAGCTGGTCGCACGCGCGGATAGCATCGCAAAGCCTCAAGCAGAGGCCTTGCAGAAGCTATTGACCAGCAAGAACTTTTTGAAGCTCGCGGAGGCAACCAGAACCCTTTCATGCCTTTGTTTGGTTCTTGAAGGACTTCAGGTTCTCCAGGTTTTGCTCTCCAGGTTTGGTTTGTGGTTCATTGTTGAAGGACTTCAGTGACTTTTGGCTGTTTGCCCTGACAAAGCTGTTGTGGCTAAGGAAGCTGTCAAAGCTGGAACCAGAGACGGTCGACAAGATTGCAGAGGTCATATTGCAAACCAAGTCGGGCAAGAAGGTGGGTCTGTGACAGGTCCCATACAAATTTGTGGAATCCGTTGGCCTTCTCTGGAAACATCCTGACAGCCTCAATAAGGGTTCATATAATGGTCAACAGAAAGATATCGGTTGACACCTGTGCAGGCTTTGCATGTCTAACCCAGACACGGGCTTCTTGCCAAATCAATCAGGGTGTTAGAGGAACTCATCAGACCAATCAGGTTTCCGAGACCCTGGAGAAAGTGCAGAACCACTTGCAGTCGATCAAGGAGTCAGGCGGACCCGGCTGGTAGCAGAGGGTTCCGGCTGTGGTCCGGCGCACTTCGAGGGGTTCGGCGTTCTACTCACCACCGGCAGGGTCGAGGAGGGTTCCGGCTTGGTTTTCCTTTGTGATCAGAGACCAGCAGAAGAAACACAGGAAGGATACTATGAAACGATGTGATTGGATGCTTCAGAGTAGCATTTCCATGTCGGGGTGATACTTGGACACCAAGAGAATGGATAGAGGAGGGTGCCCCTCTCCTTCATACACCACTTCCTGATGTAACGCTCAAAGTGCCGGCACTTGATAGCTTGTTCCAATTAGACGTATCGCAATGGGCTATGTGGTTTGAACGATTTCTGAGCCGGTTGATAACACCAATTGACTTGCATTTCGTGGGACTTTCCTACCACTGACACCACTGAACAACCTTAAACAGTCACTCCAATCGGTCCGATCCAAAAATTCCCCAGATCCAACACCGCCTAAACCGCCACCGATCAGCCACCTATTTTCATGCCACCTGCTTGAATATGTCGCGGTGCCCGGCGGCACCGCTTGGACACCACCGTGGTTCTTCGACCGCAGGTGTGGCGCCGCTGCTGCGGAACCTGGCGGATTCGCAGCTGAAAGCGCGCACGGGCTACTCCTCGGGTCAGCTGTTGCGCATCTTCCGGGTCTCTGCCCTCCAAATGGCGCGCGATACACGGGAGCTGACCAAGTTGCAGGGGTATGTGGAGAAACTCCAGGAAACGGTCACCTTGAAGAATCTCAAGATACTTTCTGAAGACGGTTGTGAAGTTCGAGGATTTTTAAAAGTCGACCTTGTTTTCTTTTTTGGAGCTTGTTGTTGTGAAGATGGTGAAGTTGTTCAAATCCCGTCGACCTATCAATCACTTGATATCAATCAGACTTTGTCACCTTGAGATTGCTGACTTCTGATGGACTTGTCCAAAGGCACCCGAGCCGTTCAAGTCCGAGTTTCGTGAAAACGAATCCGAGGTGAATGAAAACAACTGGGACGACGTCATCGCCAGCTTCAGCTGCTTCTATGCCTTGCAGATGCACCTGCAGGGCGAGCGATCCCAACAAGTCTTCCAGCTCATTTGGAAGGATGAGGATTTCCGAGGATGGATACAGGTGGCTCAGCTTTTTGTCAATGTGGTACCTGTGAACCATCCACCCCCATTGATCATCCACAATGTCAAGAAGGCAGTGAAACACATCAAAATACATGCTGAGACATGGGAAAAGGCGATCTCTAAAGAATTGGCTGCAATCGAACTGACTCGAACTCGCCAATCGCAGTTCTTTGCCCTTCTGGTGTCGGCCATTTCGGGCTTCTTCATGTACATAGCAACCTTTCTGTCCAGTGTAACGTTCCAGGCATATCAGGATGGCAGATTGAAGATCCCATACCTCTCAGATTAGCCGGTCTTTCATCCCAAGAAGTGGTGGGATAGAGTGACCGGGCTGGGACGTGCATGAAACTACAACGCAAGCTTCTGTTTGCCCGCGCATGTCAGCACTTACCTGCCAATTTAGAGTGAAGCGATAAGTTTACATCACAACACTCGAATTCGGACGCCGCTGTGAAGTTCATAGTGCTGACAGTGGAGTGATGTAGCTCCCAAAGATGGAGCGCTGTGTGGCCATTGCTGCTTTTTCGGAGGGCCCTGCTTCTTTTCGGAGACCTGATGAACGCCCAACGTTTTCGGGTGGCCAATGGCCCAGAGGTTTCGCTTCAGCGTTTCACAACCCCCACCGGACCAGCTCCATGTCATGAGCCATAAGGCTTATAAGGCTTAAGGCTTATAAGCTACAGTTTGGATACCAGCAATCCGTTGCTGCCACCAGCAAAAAGATGCTCAGTGCGCTTGGACAATTGAAGGACCGTGGGAAGCCTGCTGACTTGGTCCATTCTGGTCACGATGGGGCATCAAACTGGGTCCCTGGGGTGCGGACCCATATCATAAATATGATCATATATGGGAATTTACAACTGGGTCTCTAAAATTGTGTTCTTTTGGCTATCTAATGTGCTAATTAAGGTTGGGTCTCCAAATTGTTGTGTTCTTTTGGCACCCGAACGTTTCCTATTTCCTTGGGGATTGGCAGCTACAAGCATTTCGAGAGTATCGTGATGCCAACGGAAAGGTGCATTCCCTGCTGCTCAATATATGTTTGGCTCATGGTTCCGTTCTCGGTGTGTCTCACAATGGTGAACCCCCAAGAAGAGGTCTATATAATAGTGTCATCCATTCGAAGTGTCTATATAGTGGCAATCAACATCCTTCATCAAATCATGTTCGAATGAATGTTTCAACAAGTCTGCGCCCAACAAAGGTGATGAAGGTCGCGAGCTACAGTGATAGATGCCTTAAGCTGCTTTGAGTTCTCACCTTGTGCAATGTAGGGTCGAACGCACGAGCGATCGCAAAACCCATCTGCCCCATCAACCCTTCTCATCATCGGAATTCGATCTTCACCAGTCCCAGGTAGCCAAAAAGTTTCTTTAATGCTCGCAGGTACCATCAAACACCATATCACACCCCATTCTTCTTAGGATGTCTTTCCAAACATCAATGTTCGACTCTTGAGGCCCCGGGGCCGAAGTTCGGCTCACAGAACGCGTGGGGAGCTGGAAGAAGGCGCAAGCCGGCCGTGAGGTGCGGAGCAAATCTGAGAAATTGGGTCGAAAGACGCATCAAACGAATCAAAAAGTGATAACATCGGAAAACAGTTATGTGAAAACAGTTGGAAACCATTGGACACCAATCCCTTTGAGATTGGACAAACCATTTGGAAAGGAGGTGTCAGATTGGCCGCATGTGTGTTTTAGGGGTGAAGATCGGAAGGGCCAAGGTCACTGGACTTGCTTTTAAGCACTGTGGACAATTGTTTGGGGTGTTTCTCGAAGTCTTACTTGCGATCAACATCTTAGAGATCGATGGAAATCCATGAGCAGTTGGTGGAGATGCCGATAATAAGGTCTGGAGATGCTGGGGCAAAATCACATCGCAAAAACCATGCAGACGTTTTTGGAAAAGTGACAAAATATGTTTCCTTTTAATTCTTTTCCCTGGCTTTCCTAGCAAAGTCCCACTTGAGTTGGACACTGCCAAGTTGCAAGGGTTTTTGGCACAAAAATCTCTATAGGCAGGTTTGTAGACATATGCTGCTAATCAATGCTGTTTGCACCCTTTCCTTTCCTCATTTGTCCGGAAGCAGGAGGTGAGACATTTCTTTTGTCAGCGGACTACCGCGTTACCGCTGAGCCGACCGTTGGGTATCATGGATGTTCTTTGTTCAGAGGATTATAAACATGTTTCATCGGTGGATTCTGTTGTACTGTTCAGGAGGTAAAATACCGAATGCACTCCTTCAGATTCTCTTTTATAACGTCGAAATGTTTTGTTTTTGGTCGAACTGCGGGAGATTCGGCCCACCGTAGAGCGGCCCGAATGGACCAGGCGATCTGCGGGGCACGCTTCGCGCTTCAGCAGCCTGTTCATGAGGATGGTCAGGCCACCAGCCGTGGTGATTCTACATCGTATACACATTTCTAGAGCCCTTTCTACAAATCATCTCAGGGTTCGACATGTGGTTTCCTGAACAGAGGAATGCCTCACAGAAAGACCAAACCCTTCAAACTCGTTTTCGGGGCAAGTGAAGGACTTCCGAATCATGCTAGTGGTGTCAAGAGGGTTTAGATGCATTCAAGAAGATGGAGAGTTTCTGTTCAGTTACGCAGGGTAATCGCAACATGTTCCAACTCGATGTGGGCTGTAAAAATAGAGGAATGACCTATTAATATATACCTCTAGCATTAAAAACCATTGAATTGATTTAAGCCAGCAGTTGGGGCTCATTCGCTATTGAGGAGCCCAATTCCCCTTGTTAGGTACAAGCCTCCCAACAAGTACTTATTCAAGTTATGTCAAGTTTATTCTTTTCAGGTCTATCCTGCTTTCTTCCATTTCGTCACGTCGTGGGAAATCCAGAGTCAGTGGAGGAGATGATGGGGGCCGTTTTTCGATTTAAGTCAGACATGTGACACTGGTCGACACCCTTGAGGCCCTCGTGGTTACGCAAACGCGAAGAGGCCGGCGGAGTCTCGGATTGGGATGGTGGGCATGTTTGGTGACTGTTATGCACAAGAGTGGGGAGTGTAGATGTGGGGACGTCGTTCGTATTTTTATTCATGTTTGTGGCAAAATTGTCTTTTTGGGCGGTCAAGTATAGGTTCAGTAAGTCACCAATCCCAAATTGTGCTTCTTTTGCCATTCATGTAAAGGCAACTGACATCAGCACTTTCCCCTTGTGGCAGGCCATGAGGTTTTCGCCTCGCAGATGTGTCCGGTAAATTGAAGCGGGTCTAGATCTTTGGTGCTGCACTGGCCTAAATGCAGGTTGCCCAAAGCCAGATTTTGTTCAAGCTGAGCTTCCGAAATCCTGTTCCAGGCAGGGAAGATTGGGCCGTGAGATGTGAGTCAAGATGTTTGACAGTTTTTGTAAGATGTGGGAGAGGGGAGATGTGGGAGCAGGGTGCTTTTGCAGAGAAGCATAATCTACAGCCACCTCAAGATGCCCTTTTATTGATGTTCCTGCTAGCGCAAGGTATGGATAAATGCATGACTTTGAGTACATCGAGATGCCGTACGGACAATACTCTTCCCCAGCTACTCGGTCTAGTTTAATTGATGTACATTGCTTTCCCCAATTCACCACGATCGCTTTTTTCTCCGAAACCAAGATCGCACTCCATGCGAGGCAGAAAATCAACGATCCAAAATCCAACCCCCTTTGTTTGTGGCTTGCTCTCCAGACCTCAAAGGGACTGTTGATCGCCCCGAACTTCAGGTCTTCCGAGTCCAGCACGCTCTTGTGGTCGACGTTGAGACATCCCAACTAAGAAGGCGTGGAGAGCAGGTGTTATGTGGGCGAGTTGTTGAGTTGCTTTGATTCCCAGTGGGTCCCAAGATCTACCGGCAAATGGAAGAAGCGAGGCTTTGGAGCCCATGGTTTACCAAGCTGCCCTGCCTGAATTTCCGCTGCGTTGATTTGTGTTGTGGATGTGTGCAAAAGAATGCAAAAGAGCGATTGCAACCATGTTGTGATGTGCTTTTACTGACTTTGTTGTTCCCAAACTGCTTCTTACTGGTTCGTTGCTGAATTCGATTTGGTGTGAAGGCCCTTCCGACCCTTCCCAACTTGACTTGTGACGTGCTGCGCCGCTCGAATCTTGATCCGAGATCCACCGGCAGAGCTTTTGCATCCGCACCTTTTGGAAGAGCTGGGGATTTTTGCGCGGTTCGCCTATCGCAGGAGTTTGGACTTCCTCCAGGGCCATGTTGCTCACCTTTCAGGCACAGGGGCACACCGGAAAGTTTTTGTTGCAGAAGAAGAGTTTAGCATTTGCCAAACAAAACAATCACCCTGCAGAATGGGTTGGGAGGACTAGTTTCCACGAGCATGTTGGTTCTATGTTAGATTCAGAGTATCTAAGGTCACCATAGGCAGCATAGGGCCATATACGGCCTAAGAGCTCTAAGGAATCATGAGGGTCAGGTCAAGCAGAATTACACGATTCTTGGCGGTTTTGCGGTCATGATTGCGGGTTTTGCAGAAAGCAGCCCTGGTGAGCTACCATTTTAAAGGTACAAGAGCATTCGAGGGGGAGAGGGAGAGAGAGAGAGAGAGGGCGAGAGAGCAACATGAATCATAAGAGCGCTAAGGAATCATAAGGGTCCTGGTGAGCATAGAGGGAGAGAGAGCGCAACCGTTTTTGTTGAAGCAAAAGAGCAGGTTCTTTCATTCCATGCAACAGTGCAACAGATTGTTTTGGATGTGAACCGTGAATCCAAAGAGTTCGCTAAGGTGGATGTCACCAGGGTAAAGATGTCGCTAGCTGATTGCTCCAGGTGGTCTTTGTGAACATTTTGTTGGACACGCAGGTTGGTACGGAAACTGGATGAAGGACTGGGGCAGACAAAGGATGTGCACTTTGTTTGCGCTTTGTGATGTGATCTGTACATTGCAAGCTGTGTGATTTCAGACAAGTCCAGTCATTTGACTCTCAGGTTGTGCGCACTTCGAGTAGCTTCTACGGTCTGATGACTCTTCTGGAAACCTGCTTGGCTCAGCGGATTGCAAGCAAAGCTCACCTGAGTCAAGCTCACACAGAAGTGCACTTGTGCACATACAGTCACATATACCCGCAAACACACAGCACTCTAAGTATTACAATAAAGAGGTTTTGTCGCCGGTGTTTGATTTGCCAATTCAGGCTGATGGATGTGCTCTATAGACCGATCGAACAAAAACATAAACGTAGAAGCATTTGGCTTGCCCTTTGGGGCATTTTTAACAGATCACATCTCTTTTTTTCAGACACCCCACGATGCCGGAAGAGCAGCCCATCGCTGCGCGTGCCATGCAGCTGCTGGAGGCGGTGCCGGATGTGCCCGGCCGCTACATCCGTGCCGTCTTCGTGGCGTCCAATGTGCGCCAGGGGAAGCATGGTCAATACAAGACTGAGAAGGATTGGGAAGAGGCCAAGGTGCATTTGCTGTTGGGATTAGACCTTCGGCTGGTGGAGAATTCGGAAGCGCAGAAGCTGAAATTGAGCACGCTGCGGGACTTCCAAGATGTCCCTGACGAACTCATCGCATGCAGCATTTTGACGTTGGAGAGCGATGAGAAGGTGATTGGATTCACCATGAATGAAGTTCCATCGCAGACAGGAGGCAGTCTCTACTACAAGGTGCAGGTCATGGTGAAGAATGAAGAAGGGATTCGCTCCGAGCCGCTCTCGCGGGAAATGTTTCCTTTAGTTCACTCCTTTCCTGGGCATGAGGTGCATTGGCAAAGCAAAGCGAACCCTGCAGCAGAAGTACGTGCCTTGCGAGCCTTCAGAGGACATGAGCGCCACCACCTAACGGGCCTCGTTCACCAAGGTTGGAGCGACCCTGAACGTGCCACAGGTCAAAACTCAATGTTTTGGATTGACCTCTGTGTTCTGACCTGTGGCCTATATTACTTGGATGTTGCCACGGATCTTCAGCAACTTGTGCTGTTCCTTGCCGAGGAGCGATACGAGTATTTTGCCTTGAACTGCTTGGGCATGGCACTGCCCATGATTAGCACCGCCGTTGATGCTTTGAGATGGAGTGAAAACCGGATCGCCAGTCCCCAGTGCGATATGTTTAGGAGGCTTGTCCCATCAGTTATCATGCGGATGTTTGTGATTTGCTTTGCAATCCTGACCCAGTGCCACGTGCTGGTGTTGGTGTTTGCATCAGCATTGATGCGTGCAAAGCACGAGTTGCTCCATGGTGCTAAGCATGCGGAAGTCGCTGAAGCGGTCATCTCTGCCGGGTTGCAAAGCAACTACATGCTCTTGATTGTCGTAGGTGTTGAGTCTGTATCGCAGGAAGCGTTCCAAGGGTTGACCCTTTCAGTTCTTATGTCGTGTGCCTCCATAGCTTTCGGACTGGCAAGCAGAGACAAAATTAACTCCAAGGTATTGAATGTTCCAGGGAAAACAGGCTGGGGCCTGACCTTCTTGGCCTTGTTCCTCATGAGGACTATAGAAGTGGCGACCAGGTTGATGGCATTCAACATGTGTCACTTGGCGACGAGGACTTCCTTCCCTTTTGGAGGACCAGTCGTTGTTGCACTGGTAGTTGCGTTGGCAAGACTCCTTTTTGCGGAGGCGGAAAGCTCCCAGATTCTGGCAGCAGTGATTGCCCATCCGGGGCAAGTGTTGCTGGGGAGGCGCTCCATGATTCCACTTCGCTTTTCCCTTTGCCTGCACTGGCTGGTACAGGTGGCAGCGATTAGCCTGCAAGGACTTGCGTCCACTGACATGTGGCTGGCAGAGGCCAAAGTGGTACCATGGCCGGTGATGGTGGCATCGCTGGCAGGCTGCATCTGCAGCACGCTCGGCCTTTGTGCACTTGCACATTTAGGAGAAAATCAGAAACATCCTGTTCTGGAAATGTCAGCAAAAGATCAAGCACTGACGTGCACTATGCTTGCAGCTGCCCTGCAGCTTCCCAACGCTACAGTCCCAACCCTGGCGGTGGCTGAAGAAATTTCACTGGACCTCCAGGCACTTGAGGATCCGGAGATCCTTTCAAATCTTGCAAAGGCAAAGACTCCTCTGTGCATACCGGACTTTTCGATGCTGCGAATCCAGTCCAACTTGGAGAAACACTGGCAACACTTGCCACATCTCAACGTGGTCCACGCAGATTTCTGTGAGTGCCGATTCGAAGAGAGCTCAAGTTGGCCCTGGGAGAGCCTTCGGTGGCACCACCTCAGAGTGCTCCGCTTCATCAATCAGAAACTGGGTGCCGCAGTGCTGGACATGGTGAGTCGTTGCACGGAACTCGAAGAGTTGATCTTCCACAGCTGCGACGCCACGGAGCCCGAGGCCTGGCGGAAGCTCCAGGGCGCCCAGTGGCCGAAACTCCGAGACGCCTGTTTCTTGTGGTGTTTCCGGGAGAAGGACAGGGAAGATTGTGCCGAAGAGGTGCTGCGGAGCTTGGCCAAGTGCTCCGAGCTGCAGAAGTTGGACCTTCAGTACAACGTTTTTCCCAAAACCAAGGCCTGGGTCAAGGTGCTCCAAACCGACCCCTGGCCTCAGCTGCAGTGGGAGAAGTGCGATTTTGGCGACTATGGCCCAAGCAAGGAATTTCGACCAAAGGAGGCAGGAGAGAAAGAAGAGGAAGAGGAAGAGGTACCAGTGGCCCCAGCAGATCCAAAGAAACCACTGCCTACAATTGGCATGCTGTCGAGGTGCTTCGCTCGCTTGTCCAGATGTATCCTCAAAGAATCTGAGACAACGCAGGTGATTCCGCCCAGATGCCTCACACATTTGTCGATGACAAATGCATTGGATGAACAACAGCTGGATGCCGGGCTGCTGCCACTGCTGGCTCAGCGGCAGGACGTGGAAGTGCTCTACGCTGACTATTGCAGACATCTCTCAGCTTCGGCCTGGCAGTCTTTGGAAAATGCCCAGTGGCCCGAGCTCAAAGTGGCCTTCTTCGATCAAAGCTTCGGCACGAGAAGCCAGGGCTTGGAAGGCGCCCCAGCAGTGCTGCAGCTGTTGGCACGCTGCCTTCGACTGGAGTCGATCGATCTCGGTCATTGCGACCAGATCGCGGCGGAGGCCTGGGGGGCGCTCCGTGTCGCGGAGTGGCCTCAACTGAAGGAAGCCCGGTGGGAGTGGTGCTTTAAGTGGGGCGAACCAGCCTCCGGTGGGGCGGCGGTGGTGATGGAGCTCCTGGCGCGGTGCCACCGCTTGGAGAAGATCGGTTTGAGCCGTTGTGATGGCATTTCGGCCGAGGCGTTCCAGCTGCTGGGCACAGCGTGTTGGCCGGAGTTGAGATCTGCAGCTTTCGACCGCAGTTTCGACAACTCCAACCGCTCGGCCCTGCCGGCGGTGCTGCAGATGCTGTCTCGGTGCCCGAAGTTGGAGTCCTTGAACTTCAACTTGTGCAGAGTCACAGAGAAGGAGCTGCAAAAGCTGCCCGGCGGCTGTTGGCCTCACTTGGAGATCCAAAAGTGCGCAGGCTTCAAGGTGTATAAAGTTACGAATGAAATAATTGAAGAAGATGAAAAAGCTTCGGAATTGCGACAGAACCAGCTGAGACGCCTCAAGGGTGCGGATGCGACCATTGAAGCTGCCAGCAGTGCTGTGATTCTCATCGAAGATGCCATGACCCAGGAGGCAGATGCTGAAGCCAAACAGCCCAAGAGACGGAAGATGAAGATGGTGCGCAGAGCGCGCAAGAAGAAACCAGCTGCTGAGACAGAGGCAGCCACCGACACAGTGGATGTGAAGGAGATTGAAGGAGTTTGTGGAGATTTGGAATCTGAACGGCCCATAGAGGCCAAGGAAGAGGAGAAGCAAGAGGCACCGAAGAAGAAAAGGATCAGTAAGAAATCAATGCGTTCGGTGAAGAAATTCACAGTGCGAAAGAGTGCCGCGGAGTCAACCTGATGCGAACTTCACCAGCGGACTTATAAAGAGCTGAAAAAGCACCAAGCAAAGAAGGCCCCAATGGGGCATGCGAGAAGAGAATGCCACTTATAACATCAAGTGGTGGCTTTGCTGAAGGCAAGCCTCTCATGTTTCACAGTCATTGATAGAGCCAGGCTGCACAAAAAGGCGTTTGTTGCCGGTTGACGGCCAAAACTGTTCCTGTCATTGTTGATAAGATACAAGTGTGCACAGGTTCAAGCAAACAACTAGAACAACAAATAGTCATATTCTGCTTTCTAGAGCTCATAATCACAAGGCGAAGTAGACTGAAACCCACGACACTGCATAATTATATTAATGTCCCAACTCTCTTCTCCACCTGTCCTGAAGTTGCCTGCTGGTTACAGGGCGATGCTGCGATGCACTTGACTGCAGCAAGACCTGCGAGTTTCATCAGGAGAAGCTTTGAAGAGCCGTGAGACGTCGGAGTGTTAGACAGGAGAAACATATGTTTGCCAAAAACTGCAAGACCTGAAAGACTTGAAGTGCAACTTTTCTGGGAATTTGGGGTTGTTCTGGGAATTTTCCGGTAGCACGCACGAAGAGAAGGAACTTCTTGAGGAGGATTTCTGAAGATGTTTCCTTTGAATCATGGAACTGCATGCAAATCCAAGCTTTCCGGACACTTGAAAACTCGCACATCGCCAGACTCGCGATCACTGAGACTTTGAGAGAAGCGTACGGACTTTGGTGGTAGGCTGTAGGTATCAAGTGGACTCATGGATAAGAAGTACGTTTTATAATACGTTTCTTCTCCACATAATTCAAGAAGTTATATATTGTCAGTTAATTATTGTCATATGTTTTTTTCTTCCCTTCAGTGAAGCCATGTGAAGCCGTGAATCCCAAAGTGGACCACACCGGTTCGCCACGCAGGTACACAGAGTCACGGAGGCCGACCTACTGATTGGAATAGCATTGGACGTATTTCTTAGATCCCAAAAAGGGAGCTGAGCGTGGGGATCTGCAGATGGGTTTGGTATTGATCTGGTAGATGATTGGAACACGGCGCTTCAAGATATTTCAAGACAGCCCTGTGAATACCCAAGATTGCTCAAGGAGTAGTGTGAGCTACCCCAGTATGCTTTTCTTAGGGTCTACAGTTGTTTTTTTTTATTGATTTGAGTCAGGCATCAACAGGAGGGTCACTCCACGTGAGGGGAAACCCAATATAGACAGATCAGACATGATTTAGCCCGTGGCATGCTTTTTCAGAATATGACCTGTCCAACTATAACTACCTCTCAGGCTAAAGAGCTGTCGCTGTTGTGGCTGTTGAGGCTTGAAGGACGAAAAGAAGGCTTGCCACGGACACATGCGACATAAACATCACCACAAAGAAAGGAGGACAACTGTACAGATCAATGCAACACCACGACTGTGAAGTGTGAGCCACTTCAAACAGCATTTTAGTACAGACGTGCTTTCAATCAGTGGTTAGATTCCATCTATATGCTCACCGGTCACATGGGACCAGTGGTGAAACAATATGATACAATAACTTTTCAGAAAAACATACTGCGAAGGTTTGCACAAATAAGGCGCACCTGTCGGGAAAGTCCCTGACAATCCGACTGGACTGAGCATCGTTCCGCGCTCAGCATCGCTTTGCCACCCACGTGGTGGGAACCTGTCGCATGGTGGTTCTGTTGTGCGGAGGAGTTTGGGTGGAAAGCAAGGCTAACATCGCACGTATACCCATACTGATCCATATGTACTCGAGATCCTAGCAGGGAATAACTACAAATGGCAGCTTCGAAGACGATCATCTCCTCTACGAAGCACGGGGGGTGATCCACTCAAGACATCTGACAGTGTCATTTGAGTGGTCAGTGATGACTGCAGCACTTCTTTTGTCAGGCAAACCAGAGGCTCGAGCCTGGTCGGAGTCCAATCAGTGAAGCACTGAAGCACCCCATTAGTAGAGCAAGTCCCTCAAGGTTGTTTGAATATCTTGGATATGAACGAACTCTTGATGTTGATGTGTGCCATCAAGCGGTTGAATGAAAGACCGATTGATGGGTGAATGTAAGATATCGACATGGGGTCACTTCACCTTACACTCCACAAGCAAGAGCAATCTATCCAACAAGAGCTATATCTACCGTCTACACTGTACATGTTTGTACATGTTTGCGCCTTTCCTCCAATGTGCTTTGAGCGGTGCTACTCAAAAGGATCAAACAAGTGGTTTGATATACAAACCCGGTTGCTGCCCGGACCGATGTGGACGTGTCGATCGACCAACGAACCGCGGAACTCGTGTTCTTTCCGTGTCCGCGAAGGGTTCGACCCACCGGATTTGGGTCGGATTGGTCGATGCACGTGGGGTGTTTCATCCAAGCCTTGGGAGTCCAAGACATTCAAAAAGATTGTTCGAACTTCATTTCGATGGAAATGGATGGTCAGATTGGTCCTGTTTCATCCAAGCCTTGGGAGTCCAAGACATTCCAAAGATTGTTCGAACTGAACTTCTCGCCAGTTCCATGGAGGCCAGGGTGCTATCCATGGAGCCTATAGGGGGTGCCCCAACGTCACATCTACGAGCCCTGGATGGGACGTTTCACACCACCCAACTCCATGTGACTGGACTTCTTGGGCAAGTCTTTCCGGTGTTTTTGGTTGCACCGTGGATGGCCCCCAACTGTGTGTGTGTGACTCGCTTGGGACCGAGATTTGGCGACCTGAGGCTCCAAGCATCCTTATTGTTGTCATTGTTGGTGGTGAACTTCAGGATTTGTTTCTGAGGACTTGATGTCAAATCAAGACCAAAAGTCGGTATAGTCGGTGGTTGAGCTTTGGGGGGTGTACTCATTGAATGGGACAGATAGACGAGCTTTGTTTGGGGAACACACTTGAAGAAACGAAGGAATCCTCTCTCGCAGGTAGCGTTTTCGAATTGGGACAGAGCCATGCGAGTGTGCTTTCTTTCTGGCAGCACCGTGGCGGAACTTCAAGAGGAGGAATTGGATGTAGTGCTCCAATGTGACAAGCCAGCGCCTTGGGATTGCTATGGCCGTAGTATGCCGTAGTTACGAATAAAACAATGGCCTACAAGGGATCAGTCAAGATCACAACATGTAACATGCCTGCAATGAGTGGGCAAGAGAATCTTAATGTCCTGACTAAGGGTGGTTTTGGCATGTCTTGACCATCCCTTAGATGTTTTCGATTGCTTTCCTTGGCATTCCCCGGTTCAATAGCTTAAGTTCTTTTGTTTCGAACCGTGTGGAGTCTGGGAGTCTGGTGCTTTTTCCCGCATTCGTTGAGCGCATCGAAGGTGAAAGCCCTGAAGGAGAGCTTGGTCGCGCGCATTGGAATTCCCAGGTTCCGTCAAAAGCTGTTGCAAAACGACGCGCAGTTGGGAGATGAAGCTCCCTTAACTGGAGAATCAGATCTGCAACTGATCATTTTGGATTACCAAGAGGTTGAAGCCAAGAGGAGTGAGTTGTTCATATCCGCTTGCAAGGAGGGCCGAGTGGCTGACCTTGAAGCCCTGCTGCAGTTGCCCTATGATCCTAATGGGCGAGACCCCGAAACACAGCAAGCAGCCATTTCGGTTGCAGCGGCGAGCGGCCACGTGGAGGTGTTGCAACTGCTCGTGGAGGCAGGAGCTGACAAGGATTCTGTCGCGCCCAATGGCTTGACTCCTGTCCGCTTGGCCAGCGAGAATGGGCACGTGGAAGTCGTGCAAGAGTTGCTGGAGGTGGGGGCTGACATGAGTCCAACCGCGGATGGAAAAGCACCTTTGCATGGAGCAAGTCAGAACGGACATTGGCGAGTTGTGCAAGCTTTGCTGCTTGCTGGACTTGACAAGGATGCTGTCACCTGCAATGGCTCCACCCCTTTGCACTTGGCTAGTCACCAAGGACATGTTGAAGTGGTGCGTGTACTACTGGAGGCAGGAGCTAACAAGAATGCAGTTGTAAAGGATGGATATTCACCTTTGCACTTGGCAAGTGACCGTGGGCACCTCGCAGTGGTCCGAGAACTGCTGGAAGCAGGAGCCGACAAAGAGGTGGCACCGCCGTCCGGTATCACAGCTTTGCATTTGGCGAGTCTGAATGGCCATGTGGAAGTGGTGCAAGTGTTGCTGGTGGCTGGAGCTGCGAAGGATGCCGTGGCGACGAGAGGCTTCACGGTTCTGCACGCGGCGAGCCACGTGGGCCACGTGGACATTGTGCGAGAATTGTTGGAAGCAGGACTGGTTTTGCACAGGTCAGCTTGTTCTTTCGCTTGAAAGCTTGTGTTTCATGTTGGTTCTCTTCCCAACTATAGTTAGTGGTGTTTGGAAATTCCGTTCCCATTCAAGTTGAATGCCTTTCAACCGTTCCACGTGCCCCAAAAAAGCATCAGGAGCTCAAGCAGATGCGACAGCGGACAATGGCTCACAGGCCTTGCATTTTGCCGCCGAAGGACGTCACGTTCGTGTGGTGGAGCTCTTGTTGGCGCGACGCGCGGATGCAGCGTCTGCGCGAAGAGGAGATGGTGCGACGGCTTCGTCGTTGGCAGCTGAGAAGGGCTACAGGGATGTTGTTAAACTCTTGGATCAGCACCAAAAAGAATACGTGAAGAGAGCTGCACAGACATGGGTTGGCTCCATCAACTAAGAGGGTGTCGAAGCAACCTTGGTGTGTGTCCTGATGTTGAATCCACTACGCAAAACCCTGAAAACTGGTGCAACCACATGGTATAGAGGAAAGAATCTGGAAAGCATTGTAAAACCACTCAGACTTCCTTTTAGCCTATAGGCTAGGAGCAGGGAGACGGGAGTCTCTAGCACCAACACCTCCCCTTATCACAGACCCCCAAAGAAATCAATTCTCTCAACTTATTGCCCTATACAGCCCATTTACTAACCACCATTAGCAACCTCCAACCGCCCAAAAAACCCAAGCATTCACCTCCAACCCACCACGACCAGGATCGCTCCAAACACCGACCGCGCTCCGAGGGGCCATGGCCTTCGATCGCCACGCCGCGGAGCGTTTGGCCGGCGAGGCCGCCGACGGCATCAAGGAGGCCGCGGCGGTCGCGCAGGGACCGGGACCCGTGTCGCGACGCTTTTCGCTTTGCGCGGCAGTCGGTCGAAGGGCGGGAAAAGATGAGAGGAAAAAACGTGGTGGTTCCTCCCTGTCAGGTGAGGGTGGGGATCACTCGAAGTGGAGGTCAATTGCTTCATATATGTGATGATGGGTGAGTTACATGGTGGATGTGGGGTGCGAGCCGCTACCTGAACACCCAAAGCGGCAGGAGTGAACAGGATGATAAGTCAGAACATTGGAAGTTGGGCCACGTGAGGGTGAGGGTTTGGTTTGTGTGTGTTGGTGACCTGGTGATGCAGTTCACACAGACACCTGGGTGTTTTTGGAACGCAGCGGCAACAAAGACTACCCCGCTACCGAAGTAACTTTATGTGGAAGTGGAAGCCCCTCGTTTGCCGGAGAAACGTGTTATCCCAGTAGGGCCTCATCTCAAATCAACTATAGTATTTTCGATTGAGAATCAACCACTATGTTCGAGGTCGCTCTGTAGTTGGAGACCAGTTGCCAGAAATGAAGGACCATGTTCGTGTCTTTTCTACTTTCACGTCCATGACTGCTTTCTGTGCTCCAGAACTATATTATATGGATCTTATTTGGATCTAACTCTTTAGCTTCGAGATTTGATGCCAGTTTTGAGCCACTCATAGACAAACTGGCGATCAAGACCCGGCAGTCCTAGTTGACCAGGCGAAATAGACCAAACAGGACGCGTCCAGCATGTCAGTTTGGATGTGATTTTGTGTGTATGGGGCTACATGGCTCAGTTGCCCAGTTGCCCGCGTGGCATGGATTTGGATGTGCAGCCTCGACATCAACACCTCCGCCAATGGTTCCTTCCCTTTGCTCTTGCTTGTCTTGCCAGGTGGTGCGACGCTTCTCGAAAGGCTTGCAGGAGTGTTGTGCTGGATGTCGAGACTAAGAAACACGTTGCAAGCCGTATGCCAGTCTTGGTCAGTTTATGACTGTTGTGTCTTTTTGAAGAGTGGAACAACTCACAAGCGGAGAAAGTTTCATGCTTCATGGACTTACACCACACACCTGTGACTTTTTTCAGCTTGAAGTGGGTTTCCAACGGCTGTGTCTTTGATTGTTTCATCCATCGCCACCCAAAGCACAGGAGCTTATCGAGCAAGCAGCCCAAGAGGCCCTTGGTGATCAGTTGCAAGCAGTCTTGAGGGCAGATTCTTACAGCAAGCTCAGACCAGTCAACAAATTGAATCTATATAATTGCATGGTTTTCGGGTGTTGTATTTTGTTCCATGTGGATTGACTTGCCAAGAAAACATATGAATTGTCTCGCCATTGTGGCACCCGATCAACGAGTGAGCCTGGGTATTTTTTTTCATAGACCGTCTTGCAGAGTTCTTCTGAACAATAGAGTTCAATCTTGAAGGCTGATCCCGAGCCCTACTGGTGAGTAATGACAAAGAGTTTGGGGTCAAGACAATGCCGTGATGTACAAGCCTGACCCCCCTGGTAAAGGGCACCATGAACAAGGTCAACGGGTTAGGTGGGAGTTCTTTGAGCCAGAGCATACTTGGGTTTGCTGGTGGCTTCTCAGGCATAGCTTTGATGAGCACAGGGTGACATGAGCACTTTGGGAGGCGATCCTTGTGTGCATTGTTTAAAGGATAATTGTATACATTTCAACGGACCCAATTGTACAATTGCACGATATGTTGTGTCCTTTTGGACCTAGAAGGGTCATGACAAGAACCATGAAAAACCATTTGCACTTGACACCCGGTCGTCATTGCAGATCCATGACGATCCGCAGAGTCGCAGACGTGTGAGGCTGAACGCGAGCGGCAGCAGATCTTGGAGGAGTCCACGGTAGCTGAGCCAAATAGATCGAAGACCAGATGAGGATCGAATCGGATCGAATCGGAGAGGGACGATGAGATCACTGATGATATATGGCACATGATCAGATCTGGGCATCAAAAGCATGTTTCGCTTTATGTAGATCAGATGATCCATTTCAATGATCCCAAATCCTGGTGAATCAATTGCCAAACAAGAGCCTTTTGTGTAGATTTGGGAACACCTTTCTTTCTTCCATGGTTTGTGGCAAATTTGTGTTTAGTGAGTGTCAATAGGTTCAGCAAGTCACCAATTCCTATTGTATGTTCCAATAACATGTTCCATCCGTAACTGTAACCTATATAAATCGGTAACCTGATCAAATCCGGGATGACAATATGAGAGACATGGCGATGCAACAGTTATGCAGCATTAAGAGAGACATGACAGCAGAGTTCTCTCTTAAACAGCATAGTTTGACATCCATTTGAACATTTGCGTTTAACACATGCACTTTGGTATCAGGCATCCTCAAGTTCAAGTCAAGTCAAACGCATCCACAAACTTCAGGACAACATCTCAATCTGTCACATCCCCATAGATGCCCCACCAACAGCTCGCCTTACTGGAGGCTTGTTGGGCCAAGATGTTAATTGAGTGCGCCGAAGGGTCCCGAAGGGTCTGTGTACTGGAGGGTTGTTGTCACGCTCCGTTCAAGGCATTGGCTCGCGAGCGACAACGTTTGGAGGAGGCAGGTGACCACGGACGGGGTCGAGTGGCGGGCGTCGCCTGCGGTCACGTTTTTTTTTGAAGAAGCATCCATCCAGGGTTCAGTATTGGAAATAGGACATGTCTAGTTTGCACATGTTTGCACCACGATGCAGTGAGAGTGCCTAGCTATAATAAAGTGCCTGTATGGTACCGCGGCCTGGTTCTGTTGGTTCTCGCTCCAGTTACCTTATTGTTCTTGTGCAAGACTCGTTGATCTAGCATCATAGAAACGCACTCTTTGCTTCAGACAAAGGTGGTGACAGCATTCATGTTTGCCAGGCTGTGCAACATGTCACAAACATTATCTATTGATTCTATTGGAGTTTTCTGAGTTTGGATGCCCAAAAATTCCAGTTCCTCGGCCAGCATTGTGGTACACGGACACATCATTGCCTGAGGCATGGCAGCATTTGAACGTGGAGCGTGCACGCATGGAGGCCAGCTGGTCTGGTGGAACTGGAGCCACCAACACTCGCTCTCTCTCTCTCTCTGACAAGGTGGTTGTGGATCCCTGGTGGCTTGCACATGCGAATCACTTCAGTCAATAACAACCAGTAGCTTTGGGATATATAGAGGGGAGGTGGTGCACCTTCCCCACCTTTGTGGGTTTGGTGAAAGCGCCTCTCTGGTTAGTTTGTATTTAAAATTGGATGAACAGATGAACATCTGAAAGACACGGGGTGGTGATTGCCCTTGGATGAATTGTTTATGTTCTCAAGCTCAGGTGTGCATCAGTGAGAAACATATGGTGTTTGACTTATCCGTTCTCTTGTTCATGTAGGTCAACTCTCAGTCGAAAGGAGAGTGAATCGGCATTGGACTTCGTACACTTGCTTGATCCATCTGTTGCCATCACAGAAAGAAACGGCTTGGGACCCAACGCAACAACAACCAGGAACGATTTGTTGTGCCGCTGGCCGATGAATTTCATCCCCCCAAACCTGCAGTCTTTGCGATTGGTGTCATGGCCGACATGTCCCATGGAGCAAGCGTGCAGGCAGGGCAAGTACCTTCTGGGCACCAGCCCACACTGTCTGAACGCCCAGGGAAGGGACTCCCCGAAGCCACTGGCCCTAGTGCAATATACGTGCCGTGATAACCCTGATCTCAAGAGTATTTTCGATAGAGGGATGTACCTGGGAAGCATGACCCTAAGAGAAGCTGGCAGGTACTTCACTGATTTGATGGAGTCTCCAGATAAAGTCTTTCGACATATCTTCAGCCTTAGAGTCCAATGATTTCTGTACAAGTGTTGACACACGCGTACAGGGACCATCGTATATATATTACTTTTGTCAGTTTTATGTTTAATAGGAACGACGGCTTGACAAAAAGCATCACAGAATTGCTTTTGTTTCCACACCGTGTGAAGTGCAGAGTTTTGTGACCTCGAGAGAGAGAGAACAGAAGGAGACACAGTTCACGTTCGAGCCAACACCACAGGACTGAACTCCCCAATGTTCAGCAACACAGGACTAAGCTGTGGTGCTCGACCTGCAGGTCCATCAACCTGCAGGTGGAGGCATTGGTTCATGACCGACCTAGAACCCCTTTTGACTTTCATTCTGATAGGAAACAGGTGTATTCATTGGGTGATTGGTGCAAAAAGTGACCCAAAGCCAAAGGGTGCATTGCGGAGCAGTTTTGGAACCAGTTCTGTTCCCCCTTCTCGTTTCTCCCTCCATGCAAAGACCTTGACCCACTACGCCATCCGGTGCATATACTCATCCTCATCTCCTCCTCCCACGCGTTCTTCCCACCCGCGCGGCTCCCCCCGCGTGCGCGCGCGTGCGGTCAAACACGATTCGCTTGTCTCGCGGCCCGCGAATGGCTGAGGTATCCGAGTCCTCGCGAGTCCGAGGTGCAGAGAAACTCCGCCGAGTCCGATGTGGGTTGATTTGGGTATCGATTCGATGGATTTCTCTGGGCATGTGGATCTTTGTGTGTGTCTGATACCTGTCTTTATAAGGCCTCAAAAGGCTTCCGAGATTTGGTTCCGTCGAATCTGAGATGATCCGTTCCCATGAATTGGTTCTGAATGGTGTTGCTTGTTCTTCATCCTGATATCTGGGCTTCATTCTTAGGTCTTAGGTGTGTGTGTGTGTGTGTGCGCGCGCACTCCACCATTAGTCTCGTCCACATTAATGTCAAGCTCCTCCATGTCAAATCTCCGACATTCACATTCACATTCACAGTGAGTGTGAGTGTGACATCAAGCAGTGGAGCTTTGGTGAGAGGATCTCTGAGGATCTTGGTGAAATTATTTGGTTTTTAGTGTTTCATTGATTGCTCTTTAAATTCATGGTTTTGCTACAGGGAATCTTCATGATATTCAGGTATGATATGTTGGAATAATAGGTCGAATAGGATATGATATGTTGGAATAATTAATTGGTTAAAAGCTGAATCTTTTTGGGTCCAATCCAACCCTGTTGAAAGGCAGGGGTTTTGAGGAAGGAGAGCAGCTCAGATGGATGAATCCATTCTGAGCATGGTCAGTCTTTGGAGGGTTGGAGGTGGAACAGGTCCAGAGTAGTACAAGGTGACCTTTAAAAGCCAGGCATGGATCCATTTCACACATGTCAAGTGAAGTGGGGTACACTCAAGTCAACGACCTGGTGCTTTGGATTGATAGGAGTTGGTTTTAGTTGCAAGACACCTACCTTGATGGTTTCCCAGAATTCCCACACGCTAACTCAAGCAGTTCTCATGGCTCACTCAATGCGCTGGTGCTTTGCATTGGTCGGAGCTGTGTCTTTGTTGCATTTTTGTTGATGTGATGGTTCTTCAAGACTTCACCACCAACTCCCCAGCACCAAGTAGTTCTCATTTTCATCACGTTTCTCCCAAAAGCCCAACGTCCCATGGCTGGTGCTTGGCGCTTGGCTCAGTCCCAAGGGTCTCCACGCGACGGCCGCACTAGGCCACACTGTCCCGGAGCATGGCACCACAAGGCGCGCCCACCGCTCCGGGCGGGCGGGAGGAGATACCGGTGAAGGAGATCACCATGGGAGAGACTGGCAACAGTATTGAATACAGATCGAATACCATGGTATTCAATACAGATCGAATACGATTTCCAGTATCGAATACAACAGTATTGAGATACAATATCTGTATATGAGTGTGTATTGGAATACAGATATTGTACCAATTGTACCGTATTTACTTCAAGAAACTCACTGTATTTGAGGTCACTCTTGCCCAAGGGCCACTTAGGAACCTTTAAAAGGTCAATTTGAAGAAACTGGCCGATATGTTAATTTCACAAACTAGTTCATCCCAACCTTCCTGAGTGTGAAGAAAACCCGTCGACTCCCTCTCTCTTCCTTTTTGAGCTGTTAAAAATTCCATTCGTGCTCGCCGCTCGCGCGAAACATATATTGGGGTGGTTTGATTCGGCCAATGCAGGTCAAATACTGCAGTGCCATGGAGTGTTTTTAGGGGACTTTCTCAGGGTGGACCAACACGTGCCACGACTGTGGGCCACACCGTTCAACCAGCGACCCACTGGACCTGCTCCCAGCTGACCGCGCCGCTGACCGCGCCGGCTCCTTGGGATCAGGACAGGTGCCCAACCACTACATCGTGAGCATCGTTGGGAGCCTGGTGTGTGAAGACAACAAGTGTGAAACGACAAGAAGCCTGCGGATGATGCGAGAGACACATCAGACACATACACAAGATAAGACAAAGAACAACAACATTAGATGCACAACCATCCACAACCCCCCCACAGTGTATAATATGTGTATATATATATATGGAGAGAACAATGAACTTCCATGCAGTTGATGTATCCTGAAGCCATCCTTTAAACAGAGGAGTTGAGACAGTTTGGGGGCTGTCTAGACTGTTTGGATTCCGAACTCAGAAGCACACACACTTGTCATCAATCTTCTGAACTTGTCTACTGAACTCTCTTTTCCTGTCATTTCTATCGTTCAAATCTTTTGTCAAGAAAGAAGGGCCCCTTCTGGCCAGACATCGTTGGCGCTTCATGAGATGATGGACCAAAGCCTTTGGCATGTTCAAACCATGGATTCTGTTTGCATTGGTATAAATTAGCAAATTTGGAATTGACTAATCATCATATATTGGGGTATCACCCTACAAATTGATGCGGGATTGGTTCGCTAAAGGTCTGATCGATCGGTTTCCTCTTCGGCTAACTCTCGACGAGCTCGCCTAACTCAATCGATGGACTCAGGGTGATCGCGCCTACACTGTCCTGCCATTGAAGGATTGCTCCTGGGTGGGTGTCAGAGAGGAAGAAACGCCGCAGGTCGTAGGTTGCTTGCTTGGCTGCTAAAGAGGAAGAAACGCCGTAAATTTCATGTGACAGGTCGTAATTAGTAATTAGATTGTATAGGTTGCTTGCTTGGTTGCTAGGCTACTGCGAGAGTATGAGAAGCGACCTGTTAAGCTCAAGCCATGAAGAAACATGAAGAAATAGTATTTCTTGTGAGAGATTGTCACAAGTAGATGTTTCGGTATTTCTGGGGACACATGCCATCATGCTTGGTTCTAAGCACTAGACTGACTGACCTGAGCTAGAAGTTGTGGATCGTTCTGGATCACTGAGAACCGGAGCAATGACCCACTATAGCCACCTGGCACGCCGTGCGTGGGAAAGCGCGTTGAGGAGCCCGGCGCTTCCTCTTTGGGACATGACTTGTCCGGAAGCCAAGTCACTCACCAGGAAGTCCGGGAAGTGCAGCGAAGATCATCCGCGTTGTTGAAAGGCCTATATAGTCATCTCAGTTATAGATATCACACTGGCTACATCAATGTAGAGGACATGCTTGTATGCAGTGCCGTATGCGCTTTTGCATGAAGAGTAGAGGGTTCCAAAAAGAGATATCCTTGAGGGAATCCCAACATCAACACGCCAAAGAGGTTGATGCCAAGAATTAACCAATTCCCACACGACCCAACAACAACTGCCAGATTTGCCAAGCTCTTATGTGGTTGGTTGGTTGGTTGGTTGGTTGGTTGAAAAAGAGGGATCTTTCTGGGGTGCGTCAGAGGATTCGGAAGCCCCCCAGACAGGTCATGTTTGGGACATGAAGGCTTCAACCGGACAATTCCGACTGGGAGAGGCAGTCTGCCCTGACTGAAGTGAGCTGGCGGATATATGGACTCCTCAGAGCTATTGATCCACTTTTGATCCGTGGCTTAAACATCAAGCCAAGAACCAGTGAGGTCTGGGGTGTCTTTCTTCCCCAAAGACTCCCATGGGACCGGAATAGGTTATATACCTCAATCCCTATGGATCCACATACCGAACCTGAGGTTAGGTGATTGGAGGCTATGTTTGTAGGCTTGGAGGGTCCAATTGCCTTCTGAGAAGGTATGTGGATCCATAGGGAATGTTACCTCATGATCTCTAAACCATTCTAAACCCATCCCAAGTTGCAAGGAATACTTCTCGCCATGCCATGCCATTCTAAACCCATCCCCGCTCTGCACCGACCTGGCCCCGGTCCGAGCGGTCCTCTCCCCCTCCGACCCAGGTGGAATCACATCGTGGAAGTGCCCGAGGGCTGGGAGGTGCCGAAACCAGGGGCCGATCGATGGAGGGCGGGTAGCAGAGTGGGATCGTGTTTTGTTGTTGTTGTTGTCGTTGTTGTTGTTGTTGTCGTTGTTTCATGTGTTCAATTACTGTATATATCAACGTAGCGGTCCGAAGGGGGTTAAGTACGTTACGTTGGTTCTTGGAAAGGGTTTGTCTTGGGGTTTTGTTGTTCAGTGGTTGGAGGTCCGGATATGTTTGGTGAAGAATCCTTGTGGAAGGACTCGTTGTGGGGTGAGGGTCCTTGTCCCACAAGCACTATAGCTCTTGCACTATCAGATGAATCCGTTGACACGCTGGTTGAAGTGAAGCGTCTCGTCCTTGTCTTCGAACCGGGGAGGTGTGCCATTTGGTGTGCCTCTCTCACAGTCGAACCGTCCCTCAAATCATCATCGGCTTGAGTAGAGGGGACGACGTCAGATCCACACCGGTCGGGTTGAGCTGTGTTCGTTGGGTCCTCAAAGCTGGTCGTTGGGGCGGATGGGTCCTGAAAGCATCATCAATACGGCATATTCGTGGAGAGAGTGACCATTGGAGACCTGAACATCTGAGACCTGAATCGTTTGAGTTTGGTAGGGACGGATGGGTTGATGGGTTGTTTTCTTTTTTAAGTTTGAGCGGTTGGACTGCAGATCAGGCTTTTGAGGGTCCAGACAGTGGTGATCAACTCAAGAAGAGCTGGATGTTTTGAGTCAAGGTGAAAGACTTCTCACCCTGACTTCACACTTTGTAAGGAACGCGAGGAACGCATCTATAGACTCATGAAAGCAGAAACATGGTGACATTGCTCAAGAAGGTGAGACAACGCTAACGCTCAGCAGCTGGTCTTGTTTTCTCTCAGTAGAATTACCATGGATTACCAGGCGATGGCGACAGAGAAGTCGTTCATGTGGCCATTTTATAGGGATCTGCAATTCAAAGATCAGATCCAGAAATTAATCCTGAATCTCTTTGGGGGTTTAAGACCACCGATCCAATTTGGAAGTTCGGCCATCTATAGCCCCTATCAATTCTTCTTCTATGGCACATGTCCGGTCAACCCAATGTGAGTTTCACACGCCATGGCAAGCCGAACACGAGTCGTGGCGAGCGGACCGGGTTTATCGGTCTGGGGGCTCAACGATCGGTCTGGGACCTGGATGGGTCGTGAAACGTACGGATGGGTCGTGGAAAACCTGGTTCCACCCGGGTCCAGACACGACTCAAGGGACTGCCAGTCCGGACTAACGGCCAGGGGTGGTTGAAAGGGGGTCTGTCTGGGGCGGCAGTCCGTCCTGGCAGTCCCATTAGTCGTGTCTGGGACTGCTTTGAAGGGACTTTGTGCTTCGGACGGACAGAACGGGGGTAGTCCGCCACGGGTCCGCCACGTGACTCCCACGGGTCCCGTGAAGCGGGGAGTGAAGCCCACTGGCAGTTGTAGGCAGTTGTCCTATACTGGTGTTTCCGGCGTTCGAATCATCAGCAAATCCAAAGGCTCTCCACCTGCAGTAGCACAAACATGCACAAACAATCTCTAACCCTAGGGAGCCACATACCGAACCTCAGGAGGTACGACTGGGCCCTCCTGGCGCCTACATAAATAGTCTCCAATCACCTTCTGAGAAGGTACTTGGATCCCTAGGGTAATAGTCAGTGAGGCAGGTCTGGTCAGTTGAGGATTTTTTCGTGGCCAGACCCGCTGCCTTTTGGGGTGCTATGCTTGAGGTTCCCACTGTGTAGGTGAATCCCCCCAATTCAAGGGGTGAATCTCAGATGTTTATCCGAGTTCCTGAGCTTGGCCAAGATGGTGCCGCCCAAATTTTCTGCCAGAGATTCGTTGAGGGGGTAGGGTCAGTCAAAGGCGGATGGGTGCCATATTGGTTCAAGCCGAGTTCCGGCGCGGCCCAGGCGTGCGTTTCACGTCTGGAAATTCAGGGAGTCCAATTTGCCTCACCTAGTAAGTAGGGTCACCAGCCTTCTGAAAATGGCTCAGCTGGAGAAATTCATGTGGTGCCCTACTAGAAAAGGCAACTTGGAATCCCTGGCAGTCATAGTTTAGTATCAAAATAACAACATGTTTGAATCACTGCAGACTGGGAACAACACTGTCTTGCAGGTTAAGTGAGCATCATAAGGCTTTTTCGGGCAGCATCAGGCTTTGGCATGTCAAGCTAAGTTGATTCTACTGTGAACCAATTTTCAATGCATCTACCTGAATGAAACTACAGAAACAGGTGAAACCAATGCATGACATAAGCCACAGCTGTCAGTACAGAAACCAATCCTTTATTTTTGGAACTTGTGTGTGAACAACTTGGAATAGAAATTACATGCAAACTGATGCATCCACTGGATACTGGTTTAGAGTCATCCCAGTAAAAGCACATCCCAGAGACCGGCCCCACACGCAACGTCTTCGACTCGCTGAGTGCGACCCCCGAAAACCAACGGCGTGAGACTCGCTGCGACTCGCGATGGAGTCGAGCAGCCCGCTGGTGCGGAGCCGGAGCAGCCGGCTGCAGATGACTTGCTGGGAAGTGAGGAAAGGGATGTGTGAGTTGAATTCATAGCGCTGTGGGTTTACCCTGCAGTATCCCTGTCTTATTGATTTCCCACCGAAGATGCTTAGATTACTGGGCATGATCAACCTACTGTACCATGGAGAATGGAAGCTCCGGGTTTGACCCAGAGCCAAATGCTGGTCTTTGGGCACCCGTATTCTCTATGAAGCACCCCCATGACTGCTGGGTGTTTCTTTGAAGGACACTTACAGCTTTTCATGTTTTTTTTGCTAACTGACCTCCCATAGGGTCCTGGTACATCCTGAGGATGGTCTTAGAGGTGAGTTCGTACTTCCTGAGAATGGTCCAAACTGGGGCCGTCCAGGACGTGTTTCAGGATGGTCCTGGACCCTTAGGGCATGTTATTGGCAGCCATTTTGTTGGCTGCCGTCCCTTCAACATATTGTTCTGTTCATTTCTTTTCTATGGAGTAGTGGCTGGAAAATCTCGCGCTCGTTGGAGCTTCTTTGGAGCTTCGAACCGAGCGGTGTGGACCTGTTTGGAGCTCCGGCGAAGGGCCCAGTTGTTCGTCCGCCTCGGTGTCGGGGTGGACGAGAGGAACGGTTGCGATGTGCATCCGGATGGGATACTGGCATATCCATCTGCATCCAGTTGAGAGGAAAGCATCTCCCAACTTCTTCAGTCGAACTTCGGAATCCTTGTTTTGTGACCTTTATCCCGGGCCTAAGCCCCGTAAGTGAACTCAAACCAAGGGATCCAAGTTCGGTCACGAACGGAAGAATCAGGTCTTCAACAACTGCATGACATCATGGATAAAGAGCGGAAAGAGCCATCACCTGTTTCAAGGGACTTCCTTTCATGCGTCAAGTCAAGCCTATAAATACTCATAAATACAAGGACATGGAGACATCATGGAGAGATGTTTCCGGACCTTTTCATATTTTCATGACCTTTTTGGAGTTTCTGTTTGTGACCCTTTACCTGTTTGTGACCCCCCCAAAAAAAACATATGAATTGATTAGTTACTGGGTTTGGAAGTTACTGAAGTTACCGTTTTCTACTCAGTTAGTTACTGAAGTTCTCCAACTCTGAAACCAGTCTGAAACTCCCTCCAACACCAGCCCCCCACCCTTCTCCACTCCTTAAGCCCAGTCTCCCAAAAACAGGCATAATTACAATTACAAACTTGTCTTGAAGCACCTCCCCTTCCAACCACCTCCCATTTTCAGGATGCAAGATTGTGCAAGGGTCATAGGGGGGCCTCATGGCGGGACAGAAACGCACCTTCGACTTTCAAGTTCCGCCTAGCCTGTGCGGCTTCCTTCGCTTCGCTTCGAAGCGGCCAACGACCCGATTCAAAGCACGAAAAGAACGATGTACTCGTGTTAACGCACAGAGCTCTCAGAGCTCAGAGCTCCGAGCACAGAGCACTTGGGTTGGTTTTGTTGACTCTTCGCCAGGACTTGGTGGAAGGACTCCACTGATGTGACGCTGCTCAACTCCCCCGCTCTGCGCAGACCCACCGGCCGCCACCTTCGTCCCTCGGCACGAAGATCCGGTCGGCGCGACGGCTGCCGCAGCCGCAGGATCCCATGGATCCGGTGAATTGGCCCCATGTTCCTCTACAACCCGCGGTTTTGAGGGGCCCGAGGGGTCCATATGTGAATCCTCATGTCGGAGGGTATACCATGTCGGTTAATCATGGTTAATCTCCATAGATCCTGAGAATTGACCCGGTGGAAGATCATGTTCCTCCCCGGTGGAGGGCGCTTGGTGGTGGACGTGATCTGGCCGGTCATGGCAGCCCGCAGCAGAACCTGCAAGGCTTAGACCACAGAGAACGAACAAACCCTAGGGCTCCTGGCCCTATTCTTAGAAGGTGGTTAGACCTCCCTGGCACCCACAAACCAACCACCTTCTGGGGGATGTGGTTGGAGCCCTAGGGCTCTACAACCCCGGTTTTGAGGGGGTTCCATGTTGATCCTCATATTGGAGGGTAGACAGAGGTGCTTTAATTTTTGTTTTTCCCCCGGGCCCCGTGTCGGTTAGAAGAGGGGGGAACCGGTTAGGCAGAGGTGCCTGGTGGGCCCGGGCCGTGGTTGTCCTGAGAGCCCAAAAAACGGCAGAACTGCGGTGTAAGGCTTGGGTATCAAGCAGAGATGTTATACTAATATACCGTAGACCATCCAGATTGTAGTGATTTTCAAAGGAAGGAACACGTGGTCCATCTCCCAAAAGATGCTCACCATTCCTTTTTACCTCGCACACATCCACAAGTCTTTCGCATGCTTTGGCAGTGCCTGCCAGGAAGTTGATCCTTGGAATCTTGAAACATCGTGTTTTTAACACAACTGTTAAATGGTCCGTAGGAAATGGTGACGCGACGTGAGTGTGAACAAAGGGAGGCGATCAGATTGAATAGCAGCTTGGTGGTGCGGAACATGGGGTGATGGTCATTTTCCCGGTTCCTCTCTGAA